AGCAGAACAGCCAGCTTTGCAGCCAGCACTGCGCAGTGCTTGGCGGGCCTCTTTGTTGAAGGAACAAATGTTTACACAGACAAGCGAGTAAAACCTGGTTAGGGGCTTACAGTTGACCAGTAGCGGCAGAGGGTGGCAGAGGGTTATAAGGTGCTGACAGCAGCTAACACGCTCTTAATCCCCAGGTAGGAGCAGAGGCTGTGAACCGTGGGTCGGCCTGTCTCCCGGGCCTGGGGCCATTAGTCACAGGTGAGCGTGCACCTCGAGAAGCGGCAGCACCTTACCCGGGGGATGTTAGTGACAGACGCCTGGCCGAGTTTAAAACAGGAGCGTTACGTTGGGAAAGACTTGAGACGGCTTTGCTGCTCAGAGGGTAACCAGTCTTCAGGGACCCGCACGCTCACCGACACGCCAAGGCCTGTGGGAGCCACATTCAGGCCGAGGCTCCCGGGACACCGTGTCCACGGCAGCGGCCAGGTTCCCTGCGTGAAGGCCAGGCCGCCAGGGAAGGAGACGGAGGAGAGCGGCAGGGGCAGGGGGCAGGGGGCAGGGTGGGACCTCGCGGGCCTGCAAGGAACCCTCCTGAGGGCCGCCACCTGCCGCCGAGCGGGGAGGCAGCTTCTGAAAAGTGAAGTTCCTCAGCCCTTCCTGTAAGCAGTGTGTGTGTCACACCGAACACGAACCTGGCGAACAGACCGACCGTCTGTGGCAGCAGGTCTTGCCGAGGGCACATCCCGACAGCGCCCGGAGCCGCATGGAGGACCCTGCTGCCCAGAGGCCAACCCACGGACGCTGTGGGTTCTGTACCACCACCGGCCAGTCTCGGCCTGAAGGTGGCGCCTGTGCTTCCTGCAGCCCGTGGACACCGGGCTCAGAGCCCGGTCCTTCCCCTGGCACCCGGGGTCCCCCGGTATCAGACCCGGCACACGGGGGTCCCCCGGTATCAGACCCGGCACACGGGGGTCCCCCGGTATCAGACCCGGCACACGGGGTCCCCCTGTATCAGACCCGGCGGCCCTGCTGCGGGTGAGCGGGCCAGGGCGGGGGAGGGCTAGCATCTCCTGCCCACCCCAGGTAGGCCCAACTGGGGTTGCGGTACAGGCTGAAGAAAGGAATGGAAAACACATTCGGGAACTTCAATAATAGATCCATTAAATAATTAGTATTTGAAATGTAAAATGAGAGGGATTTCAAAATTCTGATGAAGTTTTTGGAAAGAAACAGAACACAGAGGGAAATACACATCCGGTGAGTGAGGATCTGAGTCACGGTAGTTAGCTGCACATTTTACCTTCGAATGAATAAATGCAAAGAATTTAAAGAACAGAAAAAACACGGGGTAGATCTTAGCACCTTCAGAAGTTTAGAGTTTTAAAGACATGCAATTAAGGGTTAAACTAAAACTCATTTTCAAAAGAATATAAAGTAAGCTCTTCCCACCCCAAGCTGCACCTAGCCGGCACGGGAGGAGCTGCACGAGAAACACGATGGTAGGAAGCACCCCACAAGCTACCACCCTCACCCGACAGTGAGGAACTGTGTTCCTGTTTCTGGGCTTTAGAAACCTTCCTGTCCTCTTTCACACAGCCACTCTCACGGGCACCAGCTTTTGGGGAGCCATGTGTCTTCCCCACGAACCTGGGCCGTTAGTCATGGATGCCGGGCAGGGAACACTGACACCGTCCTTCAGGGGGGCTGCCACCTGTGTTCCCGCTTCATGAAGTGACCCCACAACGTCCTTCAGCGTCCAGCCCTGGGCAGATACTGGGGTCCTCGAGGGCCGCCTTCCTGCTTCCTAGAAGCCCGATGCATCGGCGACCTCA